CACAACTACTCTATTATCACTTTCTATGGCGTGCCAACCCCAAATGTGGTGGTTCTATTTGACTTGGTTTCCGATTGTTCCGCTTAGGTTTCCTTGTAATTTATTATACTAAAATTAAAAGTATTTCCACATATGTATGTACCACGTCCACGGTCCGACTTTGGAAATGATTATGCATACATTGGACCCCGGACTAGGTGTGTTCCTTCAAGTCGTCCTACCAATATGACCAAGTTGTGAAAACAAGGTCAAACAACATTTAAAAGTATTACATTCATCCATTCGTTTTCTTTTTGCTGTTATTCCTGTTCGCTGATCTTCTCCGAGTTTGTTTAGGCAGTTTGCAAAGTTGTCGCTAATCCTGCCTTCTTCATGTCTCCTGTTCAGTCATGTTTCAGTCAGGATATCAATGGCTCTTTGTATCCTACGTTTTGTTGTATTTCCACCATATGTAGCCAACCTTATGTCGCTTTCCCCTCGATTTCGTGTCCCGTTCCTGCTATGTGTTCCATTATTTCGGATCTTTCAGTATTCATGCTTCCTTAGAGTCTTGGGTGTTCCTTGATTCGTAGGCTAGTTTTTATTCCTCTTTCACCAAGATACTTCTGCTCACAGTTGCCGCATTTGATGTTATAGACTCCCGAGCAATCCAGTTTGTCAACCTTTTTGTGTTGTTTCGATAGGCTTGTGAAGAGTGTCGTAATTTCTTTTTTTATCAACTTGATATTCCATCTTCTTATCAACGGTCGCAATTTCTGGCTCAGTTTACAGGAAGGCACGCATATCCAAATTTTGTCATCCGCCCGATTTCTAAGCTTATTTTCATAAAATCCTAGTTGAAATCTGCTCTTTATAATCTCTATATTTCTTTCTATTAATTCTCTGTGGTACCCGTTGCTAAGACAGATCCGAGTCATTTTCTCCAACTTCTCGTTCCAGAACTCAGTGTCCGTTAGTCTCAATCTTCTGATGATCATACTCCTCATTATTCCGATCTTCAGTCTGTGGTTGTGATGAGACTGGAAATTGAGGACTATTCCCGCATATGACGTCTTTCTCAATAGCTCCCTCTTGAGTATTCTGTTGGAACGAATGATCTCACAATCCAGGAAGGGTAGTCGTTTCTCCTCCTCCACTTCTATTGGGAATTTCAATCTTCCATCAGGTTGGTTTATAAAATTAAGGAATTCATCCAAATTATACTTACCATGCGACCAAAATGCAAAGTAGTCGTCCAGCTGTCGCATGAATACTCTTGGTTGCCGCGGTGACTTCTCGAATTCCTTCTTCAATCTGTCCATCTATACATTTTCCAAACGAGGTGAGAGTAGAGATCTCATCGGTAGTCCACATATTTGCTCATAGATATTGCGGTTGAATGGAAAATATGTGGTACTTACCGTCAGCTTGATTAGTCGTGGTAATGACTTCTGCCGTGTCCGCTCCACTTCCAGGATATCCTCCTCTTGTTCCAAGACCTCCGACAGGACAGTGACTGCCTTCTCGCCTGTGATGTTTGTGTAGAGTGGGTTGTACAAAAAAACTCATAAACAGTTCTATCCCCACCAGCCCAATGTTTTGGATCCTTTGAGAAAATTCATATGAATTCTTGACGGTATTCGAGAGTCTGTCACTTACTTTCTTGAGCCTAACTCAAATGAATTTCGCTAGTTTGTGTATTGCTCCGTGCTTATTGTTGACTCTTAATGTTAGCGAATTTCCTTCTTTGTGAATCTTCGGTAGTCCGTAGGCTTTCAGTGGTCTTGCGTCATTCTTTATTAAGATTTAATCATCCATCTGTCTATTTCCTCAGTGTCATCAATTTCCCTTAACATATTTTTCAGTGTACCGTTGATCTTCATTGTTTGATCCTTTCTTACTATTTGATAGGTGTTCCGGCCGCCTAGGATACTTCCCATTTTCTCCGTGTACTGTTGTCTGTCCATTATCACCGTGGCACCTTCCTTATCTGCCTGAAAAACTAATTGGTCATTCATCTGTAATTTCCTACATATCTACTTCAAATCGCTTCTTTTCATTGGCTCTTGATGGGACATAATTCTCGGAATTAATTCCACTTCCACCTACCATT